GGGATTCATAGGGGTCCCGCTACCCATTAACCCTTAACACTTGAAATCATATTCCAGGGCCGTCCCCATACCCCGTCCGGTATGGGCGCCAAAACTATAAACCTCATTACCCCGTCCGGTATGAGGGTGAAACGGGCCGTCCCCATACCCCGTCCGGTATGGGCGCCAAAACACATAAGATCTCCATACCCCGTCCGGTATGGGAAACCACAATCCCGGTAGGGTTTCCTACGGACCCAGTCCGTCCACCATCTCCCAGAATATCTAGTCATGCTGACCACATTATACAATTACCCATTTACATAATCTTTCATTCTCTTTTCCCTCAGTCAGCATCATCAATCCACATACAAACAAGCAAAACGGTAATTTATGCCAAACAGACAACATACAGCATCAACATCCCAGTCATTCGATCCATAATCAGTAAAACAGTAAAATATGCACACGAAACTATAAAATGAAAACATCAAACCTCATACTGCATTTAAAACTGTAAAACAGGCCAAATAACAGTTAACCGACAAACACACTAGACTCGCACTCCATTAGCGACCTTAAGCAATTTTCACACATTCGTTGATTCATGAAATATCGTTTTATCATTTATTGAACTTTAATACCGTGATAGGAGATAGGGTGAGAGGTCCTTACTCGTTTCGGGGTCCGAACACGGCTTCACAGTGCGCCTACAGGCTGTCCCTAATTTTTCTGAATTTTTTCCGGAGAACTGAAACGCACTACTGGTACTTGCACGTGTTCCAAAAAATCCCAAATTAGGCCCAGGGCCCCTTTCGGCCAATATCGCATTTCCGGCACGGCGGCTCCGCCGCTTGCGGCGGCGATTCGCCTCGGTTTGGCCGTTTTCGGCCGTTTCCAGCCGAATTCGGCCACACTTGCATCGATCCTTGCGATTAAACAACTCTAGGGCCCTCGGGGGGCCAAAAAATTACGGAAAACCGAAGCTTACCGGCGGCGGTGCTCTCAGGTGCGGCGGCTCTCTGGTGAAGTTCGTGTTTTGGTGATTCGGCTCCGATCAACCTGTAGAGAAAAGAATGGTGATCACGGTGATATAAAAATTGCATTAAACGGAGGCCGGGAAGGGCCTCATCGGAGGCAAAAACCGAGGAGGGTCGCGGCGGCGCCGCTGGATTTTGGCCGTGTTTTCCGGCGTTTGGCCGGGATTTTGGCTCCGATTTGGCCACAGGAGAATTCAGCGTGGAAAAACGAGTCGGGGGTATGAAATTTACCTCGATCGGTGGTCGAAAATCTCTCCGGTGCGGCGGCGGGTGGCGGCGGCCGGCTTCTGGTTCGTCTTCTCCGGCGAGGGCAGGCGGCTAGGGTTTTGTTGTTTGGTGTGGGGGTCTTATTTATACCCTTTTGCCTTTTGATCTCAGCCGTCCATTTTGATTTAATCTGAGCCGTCCGTTTTTTATTGAATTTGGGCCGTCTGTGCGATTGCATCTGGGCCGTCCGATCGCACGCTTGATCTGGACCGTCCGATCGCGGATCGCCAACGTGGCCCATTCTGGATCGACGTGGTCTTGCCACGTGGCAGGTCCCGGTTGGCCGGGACTGCTGACTGGGTCTGCTGACGTAGCCCCCCCCCCCCTTTTTTTTTTTTTTTTTTTTCTTCTTCTTCAATTTTCCGGGCGCTACAATTTTAATTTTGTTCGTATGTCTATTATAGTTATACTTATTTCATATAGTGTATACCGTATATTCCAAAGTCTATTGTTTAGTTTTCAAATAAATTTATTATTATAATTAATTATGTATAGCACGAATTCAAACATAGTAGAATGCTCTTGCGAAGTGCGGACATGCTTCAAGGAATATAATGTTATTAATTTTGTATATTTTTTAAGTAAAATAATATGATATTTTTTATTAGTCCAAAAATCAAATCGATCAATATTTTTGAGAGATATTTATTAAGTTATCAACCAAAATCTGACGATATATAAAATTTCATGATAAATAAATTTATTATACACATTAATTTTTTTAAAAAATATATATTTATAAATTATTTTTAAAATATCACATCTAATATTATATATTATATGAAGTGATATTCAATTTATTATTATATTAATAAAACAATATTATATACGAATAAATTAATGATGTTAATAATTAATAACAAATATATATTAAATTTATTTTTTTTTTCAATATAGGGATTAATTTTACACAAAAATATAGAGGCATGAAGTAAATTAAACAAAAATAAATATTACATCTATAAATTATTATTTTAGCAGAAGAGAAGTCAGAACTTCAGACTTGTTTCATATTTACCAAACAAAATAAGCATCACAAAAAAAAACAAAAAAAAAAAACAAAAAACAAAAAAAAAGGAAAGAAGCCAAACAAGGCACAAAATTAAAGAGACTTGAGCTCATAACCTCATACCTTCTTTCTTGTTCGCCAAAACGTAGGCAGAGCCAAAACGCCTTCTAAGTTCTTACGCAGCCCTAGCCCTCTTCCCATACAGCAACAAAGCAGCTCCCTTTCTGGCTCGTTTCCCCAGCCGCTAAAAGGGTTTTCTTTCTCTCCGTACTAGTGGATCCGTGTACGCTGAGAGCTGTGATGTTATTTTCCAGGGGATTTTCTCGGATTTCTTCCAGGATTCCGAGAAAGACTAGCTTGGTTGCATACCGTTTGCTTGTCGCTCCTCGGCCTTACCTACCTTCCAATCAGACCTACAATCTTATTGATTCCACTTCGAAGGTAATTATTCTTATGCTTTTCTCCTTCGTATCTTGAAAATAACCGGCTCTATTTATGGATTTTCTGTTTGGTCGTGTTAAATTTGTTTCCTCTCGAGCTTAACTTATATGTTGCTTGTTTAGTGGTCAGTTTCATTTTCTGTAGAAGATGTTTTCATTTGAAGTTCAGGGACTATTTTTCTTTTTAGGACCAAAGTTTACGCATTGTTAAAATGCAACAACGGAACAAGTCCATTTTTGTTTATAACATTTTCATTTTTTTTTTCTCTGAAAAAGAGTAGTTGAATGAAAATAAAGCTTCAAATATCTTGGCAAAAAATGGAGGGCCTAATTTTTGGTGCTTCTGTCCTACGAGTAATAAAATGAACTTGAATGCTGATCTAAACATAAAAGCTGCAAATTTAGAAGCCGCAAATTGGTCTTTTTACTGTGTGACATGTTTGCTCTATAGATATATATTGTTTGAAATAGAAAACATGTTAGTTTAATTGAAAGCTACTATCAAAAAGTATAATTTATTTTACTGGGCAGAGAGGGGGTAATAGAGTAAAAAAGTATTTGGTATCCTGTTTTCTTTCAGTCATTAACTGACATGTTATATGGGTGGGTTTGTTGTGACAGGGTGCAGACACAAGATTGCAGTTTCTAAGTACAAATGGGTATTCTGGTATTCGGCAGTACAGTGTCTTCAATGAGTTTTCACAGAAGGTTACAGGAGAAGCTGATAGGTACTTAAATCCTCTCAATCTCTCAACATATAAGTGTTTGGGTGAATGTCCGTGTGTATATGCATGTCTTCAAAAAGTTTATGGGACCTAGGAACATCCGATAAGTACAATTGATTTTTTTGGTATAAATTCTATTACAAATTATGTGATAAATTTGAGATTTTCAGAAAGTGCGTTAGTGTGTTTCTTTTATTTTCTCTTAGCAGGAACTTTTATAGCTTTGAGTTTGGGATGTTTTAGAGGGGAAAGTTTCACCCTGTCCCCATACTCAATATCATCTTTTTTCTTTTGTTAAAGGGTATAAAGTCACTTTCAAGTTATTTAGTATCTCTCTTCTTCCTTTTTCCTTCTCTGAGTAAATATTGGCGACATACTTGCCTCTTCTTTTCCTTCTTTCCCATTTCCAACTTTGTTGAAGCAACCAAACAATAACCCGACTATATGCCTTCCTCCTTATGTCACCTTCTATTCTTTTCTTTCTATAATGTCTCTTTCCCCTCCAAGCTCCAAGACATATTTATGCATCTACATTGCTCGTCTATCTTCACTCTGGTTTTTTAAATAATTTTTTTAGAGAAGTGTTTGAAGTTAGATTTTGTTCCTTCCTTACTATACCTGTTTAAATATCAACGGAACTGTAAGCTACATTTTCTTTTGGTTCTGATTATTTGTGTTTGAGAAATGGAGCATATAATCTGGTTAGAGATTGTATAATTACCTGTAGGTGAGCTTATACTCCATTCTTTTCAGGTTGTATGATGAAATAGCCTTTCTTTTGTCCTTCTTTTTGGTTTCAATATCTGTAGTTATATGCATATATAGAGGTCAATGCTACTAAGCTCAATGTTGTTAGTCTTTCGGTCTTAGAAGTGAAAGAAATATGTACTTTTTTTTTTTATAAAGTCGGATATGAAAATCTTTATCCCAATATCTCGACTCCCTGCTCATCTGGAGTCCTATTTGAGTCATTTTCCCATTCTGTTGATGGGTTAATTTTTATTTTCTTGTGCTAGTAATTGTTTGAGACTTCAAGCATCTTGTATCTTGCTTGCTTACAGGAATCCAGAATTTCAACAATCTGTGAAAGAACTAAAGGACAAGGCAGAAGAACTAAAAGGGTTGAAAGACGACTTAAGAATTAGGTAAGTTTTAGCATAGTCATTTATGCTGCCCAGTATATATAGCCTTACTAGGTAATAAGCTGAGACATACCGTTGTATGTCAAGGGAGGCCCTGAGATGGTGAAATGGAAAATGCAGAACAAAGCAAACAACTGAGCGGCTGTACAAGCAGGTTGATGGTGTGTGGACGGAAGCTGAAGCTGCTGCAAAGAAGGTTTGGTCTTATTTTTTTTTTTTTGGAAAAGAAGGCTTGGTCTTAATCTTTTACTGCATTCTGCAGATATCCGAGAGTTACGATCTTTAAAGGTGTTATTCAAAAGACTTAGTTTTCTTCAATTGTCAAATATTTTTGCACTGTCTTGAAACTGTTCAACAAAGAATATGGGACAAGCCTATTCTCCAAAAAAAAAAGTACACATGAAAAGGCGAATACTTAAATTGTGCAATTGCGAGTTTGGAATAGAACACTGTTCCTGTCAGAATCACAGTTAATCAATTATTTGATAGCAGATTAGCTTTGTGATTGTTGGTAGAAACTTTTGTTTTTTCAATAAACCAATTTAAATGATCAAAGCCCAAAAAGGGAACTGCCTAGAAGTTCTGTTTTTGAGGAAAAAATTGAAGGGAATAGGATTTGATTCTGGAGTCTACTCCTACAGAGAGCATATATATTATGATGCAGCAAACTCATTAATAGTCTAATTTAACAAATTAAACATTATACAAGGACATCAGATTTGGGTATATATCCGTTTCTTAGAACTTGCCTGGGAGGTCTGTCTTGAATCCATCCGCTGGTCTTCTTGTTTTTATATTTTGATCCTCCCTTTGAATGTTAGGTGTCTATTTCTTCATGCATCAATATTGTTGCTGCCTTGCTGTGGGTCCATATTTCCATAAAATAAAAGCAAATATTTAGCTGAGAGTGAGATATGGATTCAAAGTATGGTACTTTGTTGTTTGTAGGTTTCTGCCAGTGTAAAGGAAAAGATTTCAGCTGCTGGTGAAGAGGTTTGCTTACTGTTCTGTTTGCCAGCCTATCATCATCTCCTGTCACATTATTCCACATATAGCCATATTTTTTTTTATCATTTGTAATATTTGTTCGTTTAGGTTAAGGAGACATTTGGGATTGGGAAGGAATCTGCAGGGGCTGCTGGCACAAGCACCACACATAATGCTGATGTAAAGGATGCAGGTAAGGCATCCTTTTGGGAAGAAAAACAGCAGCATTCTGCCTTTACCAATTCTGCAGAAGCAGAATTTTCAGGGCCTGCTGGGACAACCAATGCACATGGTGCTGATTGGAAAGATGGAGGTAAGGCATCCTCTGGTGAAGAGAAAGAGCAGAAGTCTGAAACCACTGATGCTCCAGAAACTTTATTTGGAAAATTTAAATCAAGCATTTCTTCCCCTAAGGTTTCAATGGCCTTCCAAAAATTGAAAGAAGGGAAGGTCATTGATTTAGCAAAGAAGGGATATGACATTGTAAAGGATGAGTTGAGCGGTAGCCCAAGTAGGAGAAAGCACCTGGAACATAATCCTTCCCAGTCAACAGTTGAAAGAAGTACAAGAACTGATGTTGTTGTTGTACCCTCAAAGGAGCCTAAATGGCGTAAAAAATGGGAGTCACTGAAACAGAAGGTAATTTTATATTTTCTTACTACATTTTTGTTGACACATCTTCTTTCTTGCTCTTTAAATTGTCTTTTTGTTCCTCTAGATGCAAGGTCATCCTATGTTCAAGCGTATTAGTGGTTTAAGCGAACCTGTTGTGAACAAGAGCCAGGAGGTATGCTCCAAAATTTCCCGCTTCAATTTATCCTGCTTTGTTTCCCCAAAATTTTTAATAGTTTTGTTCTGTGTTACTTCTCCAATCTTGTCATTTCTTTGAATTATTATTCTAGAAATGCGGACATTTATAATTTTACCATCTGATAGTGTTGGTAGCTTTTCTTTCCTTTTGAGTTTGGATGTCACCAGTGATTGGAAGCTTGTTATTTGTCTCCATCTAATAAAAGTTTCTTGGATTGGATTTGATAGATTGCAGAGGACATGCGGGAAAGATGGGAGACTAGTGATAACCCAATTGTCCACAAAATTCAGGAGTAGGCTTCGAATCCACTGATTGTTGGTTCTTTGTCTCATTGGTCTTGCGCATGATGTATGTACTATTTTATATTGATCCCAATGAACTCTTTTTCACAGCATCAATGAGACAATTTTTCAGGAAACTGATGCCGCAGCATCCTACAAGGAAATACGCCGTCGAGATCCGTATGATCTTATGCCTTTGCTATTTGTTTGAGGATTTAATTTTCCAGTCTAATGACCTTTTTTTTCTTTCTTTTTTAATTGGAATATATTAGGACATTTTCTTTGCCGGATTTTGTGGCAGAAGTTCAGGAAGCTATCAAACCAGTCCTTACTGCATATATGAAAGTGAGTTGTGAGCTTCTTCATATTGTGGATGGGATTCTTCCCAATTCCATGTTTACTTGGAGCCTTTCACTGTTTTTTTCACTTTGAGTGGTATCCGTTTTATTGAAATTCTATGTTGTTTGTGGATAATAAGTGTCTTCTTGGTGCAGGGAGATGTTGAGACCTTGAAGAAGTACTGTAGCTCTGAAGTAATGGAACGGTGTAAAGCAGAGCATGCAGCTTATCAAGGTCATGGTATATTTTTTGATAACAAGGTAAGAGGAGATGCTTTCTATAACCCTTTACATATCTTTGTTCTCTCTATATATATGATATATAATGAAAGGATTTGCAGATCTTTTTTGTGAGATAAGAAAGGATTTGCAGATCTTATTGATTTCTGGTTTTCATTACTTGTCATTTTGTATGTCTTTTGATTTATGAAGTTTAGAAGTCTACAAAAATATTTGTACAATTTTCAATCAATGAAGTATGTAGGAAAATAAATATAGAAAAAAATATAGAAAAAGGAAAGACACGATATTGTCCCAGAACTAAAATGTAGCAAAAATGGGGGACAGAGGAAGAATCATTTACTAGCTGGCTCTTGAATAAAATAAGTTAAGATGGAATTACATTCGGGTTAGACATTATTATTTATAACATTGTACCTCTGTTACCTATGGTGGTTTTTAATGACATGATGAACAATATTTTACGATCTGATCTCTTCGTGTTTCCTTTGGCAGATTCTTCATATTTCTGAAGTTGAAGTAAGAGAAACCAAAATGATGGGAACCTCTCCTATCATCATTGTAGGGGTATGATCTCCTCTTTCTTCTTTCTTGCCTGTAATTTGGTTACAAACATCTAAATTGTGTATACGGTTGGCGCTGGTTTGGTTATTGTTTTCCATTTCCCTCAAGAAAGAAAAGGTTACAATCATCATAAGAAATTTGGTATGGAAGTGAAAACTGAGATTCGTAAGCCTTTGAAATTGCAGTTCCAAACACAACAAATATACTGTGTCCGTGATCGAAATGGAGCAATAACAGAAGGGGGAAAGGTAAATTAGACTCATTCTTTACGTTTTCCCATGCACAAGTTGCACGTGTAATTGTGACTCTGTTCGGAAGTAATCAAGAATTTCTGTGGGACTGGTTCAAAATTCATGTACAGTCTAAAAATTAAAAATGAGCTTATATGGAATTTGAAGTGGAATTGGAACAGTGCATTTGTCGTCGACGGAATCTGGAAGTCCTTGTTATGATATTCCAAATATATCCTAGATTTCTTGATGGAGAAAAAGCAAGTCAAAATTAAGTTTCCTGATATCTATTGTGTTTTAGGACACAATCCACACTGTGTATTATGCCTGGGCAATGCAACAAG